CGCCCTGGCTGGTTTGGCTCAGTGGATAGAGTGTTGGACTGTGGACTGAAGGGTCCCAGGTTCAATTCCGGTCAAGGGCACATGCCTGGGTTGTGGGCTCAATCCCCATGGGGGGCGGGGGTGTGCAGGAGGCAGCTGATCAATGAATTCTCTCTCATCATTGATGTTTCTATCTCTCTCTCGCTCTCCCTTTCTCTCTGAAATCAATAAAAATATAAAAAACAAATTGTGGTCAGATAGCTCTGGCCGGTGTGGCTCAGTGGTTGAGTGTCAACACAGGAACCAAGAAGTACTTGACTAATTCCCAGTCAGGGCACATGCTGGGGTTGCAAGCTCAATCCCCAGTGGGGGGCATGCAGAAGGCAGCTGATGGATGTGTTCCTCTCTCATTGATGTTTCTATCTATCTTCTTCCTTCCTCTCTCTCTAAAAATCAATAAAAACATATTTTAAAAATTCCTAAAACAAACTTGTGGGAAAATATAAATAAGATAACATTTACCATTTTAACCATTTTTAGGTGTAAGTTCAGTGGCATCAAGTACATTCACACTGTTGCACAACCATCACCACCATCAATTTCTAAAACGTTTTCATCAACCCCCATTCCCTACTCTCCACCCTCAGCCCTTGGTAACCTCCATCTTACTTCTTGTCTCTATGAATTTGTCTGCTCTAGGTGCCTCATATACTAGTAAGTGGAATCATACAGCATTGTCTCTTTGTGACTGGCTTATTTCACTTAGCATAATGTTTTCAAGGCTCTGTTGTAGCATGTATCAGACTTTCCTTCCTGAATAATATCCCATTGTATGTATATGTCCACTCTGTTGATCCGTTCCTCTATTGATGGACACTTGGGCTGCCTCTGCCTTTTGGCCATTGTGGATGGTGCTACTGTGAAGGTTGATCTATGATTCCAGGTCTCTGGCTCTTCCTGGAGCCTTCTGCGGAGGCATATTACATTTTGCCCATCTTTTGAATTACTTGTGGGGCAAGGCAGAGGGCTCAACTCTGATGAGAGGGGGGGCAAGCAGAGAGCCAAACACTGAGGGGTTGGGGGAGCAGGAGGTAGAGGGTGAAAATGTGGAGAGCACAGCACTCCATGTACACCCACTAAGGTTCCCATCGCACTTGGAGTAAGAGCCAGAGTCCTTACAAGGCCCTGGCACTTCTCAGCCCTCCTCCTCCTCTTGTCTCTTTAAAGCCGCTTGTCTGGTCATACTGACCTCTTCACTGTTTCTCAAACAAGGAGAGGGCAGCTGCATCCCTTGTCCCCTCCCTCTGTCCATTGGAATGCCTTCCCCTAGATGGCCATATACTTTACTTATTACTTCCTTCTAATTTCTTTTCAGGTATTACCTTCTCCGTGAGGCCTTCTCTGACCACTCCATTTAACACTGCAGTCTTCCCACCATGCTTTGCTTCCCGTACTTGCTAGCTTTCATACATTTGACTTGTTAAGTGTGTTCTTAGGACACCTAGAAAGTCAGTTGTAGGAGGACAGGGATTTTGTCCATTTTGTCCACTGCTGTATTCCTAGTTCCTAGTAGGTGCTCAATAAATAGCTGAATGATGAATGAATGGTGTGGGGCCCAGCTCTCGATGTGATTCAACAAGACCCAGCCCACTCCAGCCTCTCTCCTGGGCTGCAGACCCTCATATCTACTGGCCCACCTCGCACCCCTGTGGTGGGGTCATGCTCCCCTGTTCAGCACCCCCCGCCTCTTGTATACCTTCTACTAAGCCAAGTCAACTTCTTTTCATTTCCTTACCCTCACCCAATCCCTGTTCGCCTCCTCAACTCTCTCTCTGCATCTTAGTGAAACTATGAACCTTTTACCACCCAAATCTAACATCAGTCAACAAAACATGTAGATTCCTAACATTTTCCAAATCTACCTCCTCTCCATCTTCACTGCCACAGACTGTGGCTTGCCTCTTCTTACCAGTTGCTCAGACTTTTCCTGCCTGGGGTCTCCACTGTGGCGGTTCCCCACCTGCAGGGGATCCTCTCACTGCAGCCCGAGATGTCTAAACATCATATCTGATTAACATGCTCTGATTGAAGACATTGCTGACTCATTAGGGCATGCTGAGACCTTTACTATCTGAATCCAGATCACTTCTGCAGCCACATCTCCTCCCTTTCTCCATACTTCAGCCCACGCCAAAACCCTGACACTTCCAGAACATGACTTGATCTCTCTCCATGTGGGGCTTTGCACACACTATTTCCTGCACCTGTGTGCTCGTCCCTTTCTTCTCTGCTAAACAAAATTCCTATTTAACCATCTCAATTTCACCTCCTCTCTGGCATCATTTTTTAAAAGAAATTATTTTAAATATATTTTATTGATTTTTTACAGAGAGGAAGGGAGTGGGATAGAGAGTTAGAAACATCGATCAGCCGCCTCCTGCACACCTCCTACTGGGAATGTGCCCGCAACCAAGGTATATGCCCTTGACTGGAATCGAACCTGGGACCTTTCAGTCCGCAAGCTGATGCTCTATCCACTGAGCCTAACCGGTTAGGGCGTTTTGTTTTTTTTTTTTTTAATTAAAAAATTGTTAATGTTTTTATTTATTTTTTAAATTTATTTTTATTGATTTCAGAAAGGAAGAGACAGGGATAGAGATAGAAACATCAATGATGAAAGAATCATTGATCCACTGCCTCCTGCACGCCCCCTACTGGGGACCAACCCCACAACCTGGGCATATGCCCTTGACTGGAACAGAACTGGGGACCCTTCAGTCCACAGGCCTTTGCTCTATACACTGAGCCAAACCAGCTAGTGCTGATATCTTAATGTGGGATGTTTTCCACTTGTTTAGGTCTTTAATTTTTTTCAGCAATGTTTTCTAGTTTTCAGTGTACAAGAAAGACTTGTACACTGGCTAAATTTTATTTTTAGGTATTTTATTATTTTAGATGCTATTGTAAATATTATTGCTTCCTTCATTTCCTTTCTGAGATTGTAGGAACACAACTGATTTTTTTCATGTTGTTTTTGTACCCTGCAACTTTGCTGAGCTTGTTTATTAGCTTTAGTAGCTTTCTTGAGAAATTCCTATATTCGAAATCATACTGTCTGTGTAATAGATATCTTTACTTTTTTCAATTTGTGTTTTCTTTCTTTTTCTTGTCTAGTAGCCCTGACTAGAATTCCCAGTACAATGTTGAAACAGCAGTGGTGAAAATGGGTATCGTTGCACAATCAAATTTTTCTTGCACAATTATTTTTGTTCCATAATGGCAAAATCCTAGATGGTTTGGCGTTTCAGACTTTTTTTTAAAATTGATTTTTAGAAGAGGAAGGGGGAGGGAGAGAAACATCAATGTGCGAATGAAGCAATGATCATCCATCAGCCGCCTCCTGTGCACCCCTACTTACTGGGGGTCAGCCCGCAACCCCGACTGTGCCCTCACCAGGAAACGAACTAGCAACCTTAACGTGCAAGGGAGGACGCCCAACCAACAGAGACACGCAGACCAGGGCGTAGGCATCTTGACCTGATGGGTCAAGTTACTGAGTTTTGGAAGAAAGATAACAGGATCAAGCCATAGTGTGGGTGGGGTGAGGCTTCTAGCTTCTACTCTGAGTCTTATTTTAATTCAGCCCTTAAAGCACTTTATACTACACATTACCTCCTGGTAAGTATATAGTCGAGGAAAGGAAGTTAACTGAGGCTCAGAGAGTTAAATGACTTGCCTAAATTAGAGAATCAGTAAGTGACAAAGCTGGTCTGCTGGGTTGTACTAACATGCCACTTAGCTGCACAGAAAGATAATAAAAGTTTGTGTGTAGAAAAGGTGAGGACATTCCCAGCCGCCTCCCATCCCATCCCACTCCCAGTCCCGCTCCTTTAAAGCTTTGCCCTGGACGCAGCCCTTCCATTGGCTCTCATTACAGGGCCCCATGCTCATACGAGGGGAAGCGGCCAATCAGCGCGACTCGTCCCCGCCCAGCCAGCCAGCGCTAGATCGCGTGGTGTCTGTCCCTCCCGCAGCATGCCGGGAATTGTAGTCTAACGAGCCATTTCTGTCCCTAGTGAAAGAGGATCGAGAACTATTAAACCCAGAGAGCTGAGCGCGGCGTGGGCTTAGCTTTAAGGAATACCCCGCCAACAATCTGGGCCTGGAACCGGCATCCTGGAACAGGTGAGAGTGGTGGGGGACTGGGAGCGAGGGCAGGGGTTAGACTCGGCCTTACCTCTGGAAGGCTGCTTCGAGGCACAGGAGACCCGGCCAGCGGCGTCTGAGTCCCCCGTGTTGGGGGGTCGATGGCCCTGACTGGCTCACCCATCTGGAGGTGCGGAAACTCCCGAGCTCTTTGGTGGCTTTCCTGGCATCTCCCCAATACACCCGAACCCGGTTTCTATTCTGCGAACCCTCCTCCCTCGCCCAGTGTGGCTCCGAGGCGTCTCCAGCCCCAGCGCTCCCTGTGGGGGTCGGGCGCTGAGCTTCAGAGCCCCAGGCCACGTGCCCCAGTGCCAGGGCTCCGGCTCCTCTTCGTGGGGCAGCTCAGAAAACCCACACCCTCCTCCGCGCCGCCGGGGCAGATCTAGGTTCTAGATGTGGCGCTGCCACTGCCGAAGGGTCTTCCTAGAACCGCAGTTTTGATCTGTGAAATAGAGCGATTTAAGGATCCTCGCAGCCCCTCGTCTTGAGGAACTTGACTCTGGACCCTTCTAACTGTGCCAGGATTTCGAGGAAGCCAAGAGAGCGGCAATTCCCGAGGTTTCCTGGAGGAGGAGTTGATGGTTGAGGAGGATAAAGTTAGGTACATTAAGTACTTGCCATCTTGTTTTAAGTATGGTCAGTGGAGGCTCAGCCACCAGCCGTACTTTTTGTTCCCCGCATTTCCTTTTTTCTCTAAATGCCCAAGTTCTGTCCAGAAGAGGGTGGGCCCAGGGCCTTTAGGTAAAAGGTGGAGGTGGTAGGGGTGACCTGGGGACCTGCCACCATGCATCTGCCTTTGGTGCTTGTCCCTGCAGGGAGCGCTCGTGCCTCCTCCCTGTGCCAGCCCCTGTCCCCTTGATGCCTCTGTCCCGCTGGCTGAGATCTGTGGGGGTCTTCTTGCTACCAGCCCCCTGCTGGGTGCCACAGGAGAGGTGGCTGGGTTCCCTACAGCGGCCCTCCCTGGTGCACCGGGGCTCAGTCCTGGGGGCATGGCACAGTGCCCGCTGCCGGTGCCAAGTGTGGACAGAGGAGCCTCGGTGAGTGTTGGGGGCAGAAGGTCTTTGGGGAGGGGAGCAGCTGATCAGGTTTCTGACTTGTCCTCTCTCTCCCCAGAGTACTTTATTCCTCCCTCAGAATGAATGGAGACCAGAAATTGGATGTTTATGACCAAAACAAGCAGAATTTCATCCAGCACTTCTCCCAGATTGTCAAGGTGCTGACTGAGGATGACCTGGGGCCCCCAGACACAGGAGATGCTATTGCCCGGCTTAAGGAGGTGAGGGATTTGCGACTTGAGGGAGTGAATTTTTGGTCACTCTGTGTGTGTGGGATCCAGCTATGGTTTTGGGGGGACTTTTGACAGGTGTGGGGACAGGCTTTCATCTGAGTGATGCCAGGTTAGCTCTGGAGGGGCCTGTGCCTGGACAGGTGTACTTTCTCAGCACTTCAATTCCACCTTGTAGATCTGGTAGGGCGGCCAAACTGCTTTGCATGGGTGTAGGCCCTTGATGGTGAAGGTGTTGAACCTGATTTTGTCAAGGAAGGAAATTAGATGTCCAGAAATCATAAGGTGCTACCCTGGCAGGGATCCCGGAGGAAGGCAGCCTGAGGTGGGCTGGAGTGAAGCTAGCCTATCATCAGAAACCTCTGCTCTGGGGCAGGAACTATTGCTGGGGTACTTACGTTACCTAATTCTTTTATTCTTTTGGAGTTTCTAGTAATTCTTTTATAAATGCTGTCTCATTTGTCTGAGGGGACCAAGGAAAAGGAGGAGGTTTGTCTACACTGGGATGGACATTAAAAGGGAAGTCTTTCCATTGAATTAGATCTGGTTGCCAGCAGGATAACAGAAGGCAAAATGAGCAGGAAGAGACACCATTGCCAGAGTGGGGGATGGCTCCCCCATCCTGGGTCCTCTCCAAGCTCTCCTCTGATCAACTTTGAGGGGTGGGAGCTTGTCTTCAGTACAGTGAGAGGCTCTTCGTTTGCAGATAGGTTGAGTTGTGGGTGGGAGAAAGTGGCTGGGAAACGAGGGATAGGTTGTGAGGGGAAGTTAGGAGAGGCGGGGATGGGGCTGGAACTTGAGAAGTTGAGACCTGGGCATGCCAGCCAGGGTTAAGGAGGATTTAAAGTTAGGTCATGGTTGGAAGTAGGAGAGAGCGAGAAGAAATCTCAGAGGAGCTGCTCCCGGATCCTGCTACTCTGTCCCTCTGTGCCCCCCAGGTCCTGGAGTACAATGTCATTGGAGGGAAGTACCAGCGGGGTATGACGGTGCTGATAACTTTCCAGGACCTGGTGGAACCCAGCAAGCAGGATGCTGATAGTCTCCAGCGGGCCATGGCTGTGGGCTGGTGTGTGGAACTGGTGAGAAGGGGGGGGGGGGGGGGGGGGGGGAGAAGAGGTTTAGTAGATGTGGGGGTGCCTTGGTGAGGACCGGAGGGTTGGGCCTGGAACTCGTTCCTTGGCTATTTGTGCTTCTGGGCCTCTAGTGTGCCACAGCCAAATTTAGACAGTGAATTACTCCACAGATGAGCACATGTGGGGAACTTCTTTTGTCAGTAGGTACATATTTCACTTGAAGACCACCTGTGGGCCAGGGCCTTCAAACTGGGCCTACACTCTCTGAGTAAAGTGTCATGGTTCTTCCAGAAGATTATTCTAAAGCAGAGATTGAAAACTGGCAGCCCACGGATAGTTTTTGAAAATGTTTTAGAAATAAGTGCCCTAAATTTAACAAAGAAGAAGATTCACATAAAAACCCAAATTTCTAGTCCTAGTCCATTTGCTTAACGGTTAGAGCATTCGCCCATGGACTGCAGGGTCTCGGGTTCGATTCTGGTCAAAGGCATATACCTGGGTTGCAAGCTTGATCCCTGGCCCCGGTTGGGGTGCGTGTGGGAGGCTAGTTGTTTGGTAGAGTGGCTCACAATCTAGTCTGGATTTGTCTGATTGTTTCATCATGATTACAATGAGGCTAAACATTTGCTAAGAATGCTACATAGGTAATGCGGTATATTTCCCATTACTTCCCACTATAAGCACATACCTGGGAAGACTATTTAAAAAAAAAACACCCAATGCTGAGGTACCACCCCTATAGATTTCTTATTTAATTGATCTGGGGTAGGACTCTGGCATTGCTGTTATTTTGGGGGTTTTTAAAGTAATTTTTAAAATTGATTTTTAGAGAGAGAGGAAGGGAGAGGGAGAGAGAAACATCATGTGAAAGTGAAACATCGATTGGCTGCCTCCTGCATGCCCCTACTGGGGATCTAGCCTAACGCCCTGTCAGGGCATGTGCCCTGACTGGGACTCCAGCCAGCAACCTTTTGGTTCATGGGATAATGCCCAGCCAACTGAGCCACACCAGTTAGGGCTGGCACTGGTATTTTTGTTGTTATTAATTCTCACCTGAGGATATTTTCCCATTGATTTTTAGAGACAGTGGGAGGGATGGAGGGAGGGGGGAAGAGAGAGAGAGGGGGAGAGAGATGTGAGAGAGAGAGAGAGAGAGAGAGAGAGAGAGAGAGAGAGAGAGAGATGTGAGAGAGAGATATCAATTGTTTGCCTCCTGAGATAGAGAGATGTGAGAGAGACATATCGATTGGTTGCCTCCTGAACTTGACCCAACCAGACCGGGGATCGAACCTGCAACCCAGGTACATGACCTTGACCTGGAATCAAACTGATGACCCTTCAGTATGCAGACTGACACTCTAACCATGAGCCACACTGGTTAGGGCTGGCACTGGTATTTGTTAAAGTTCTCCTAATAAATAGAAAGTGCAGTTGGCTCAGAATCATTGCTGGGGGGCAGAGGTGATTGAGGGAGGCCACGCTGTAAATGCCCTTTGTAGACAACCCTGGCTGAATGGTACTGGTTGAAACCAGATGGCCCTGCACTCGTGCTTGGGAGAGGCAGTTGACTGGTGGCTTCAGGGGGACCATGCCACTCCAAATAAACACAATGTAAATAAAATATGTGCCTCCAATGTGGAAAGCCCAAACCCACCCCCGGGTGAGGTCAGAGGTGAAGGTGCAGATTGATGCCTCTTTCCCCAAGGACTTGGCCTGGACCAAGAGCAGCGATCGCCATGGCCTTTTTTGCACTGCCTACACCTAAGCCGGTGGACAGTGTTACCCACTAGAGCACACATACAGATCAGTATGATGTGAAGATTTAAAAACCATGCCTTGGAAAGCTGTATTAAGGAACTAGAATGTGTAGCCTGACTGCCGGGAGCCGGTCCATGCTTGCTGTTGTTGGACCCCGGCACCTGACCCCATAGAAGAGAACAAGTCCTGGGCCTCCCCATCCTGACTTTCCTTCTCAGCTCATAGTGACTCTCAATGGCAGCTCTGTTGCTGGTGGAAGGGACAGTAATAAGGAGCCCTGGGGTCTTATTCCACTCTTCCCTCTTCTAGCTCCAAGCTTTCTTCCTGGTGGCAGACGACATTATGGATTCATCCCTCACCCGACGGGGGCAGATCTGCTGGTATCAGAAGGTAAAGTAAACCCATGGGAAAGTCGCAGTGGGCATGGAAACAGGCCACAGGGAGGCGGTTACATAGAGCCTATTGAGGTGTTCAGAGTGACAGGTTCTTGGTATGAGTCTAGGCCAGAGACCGACTGCTTGTTTTCTGTCCCCTGACAGCCAGGCATTGGTTTGGATGCCGTGAATGATGCTATGCTCCTGGAAGCCTGTATCTACCGCCTGCTGAAGCTCTACTGCCGGGAGCAGCCCTATTACCTGAACCTGATGGAACTCTTCCTGCAGGTGTGCTGCCGGCCAGGCCCAATGCCCAGAGGCTGCCTGCAGCAGCGTGGCCTCCACAGGCCATTTTCATCTGGTTTCAGGGCATAGGGAACACCTAGGTTTTCATGGAAGAGGAAGGAAGCGAGGGAGTAGGGAAGGATGGTGTTAAAGGCAAAGAGGGTTCTCTCTTCCTGTGTGATGGGAAGGAGGGATAAAGGACAGTGCGTGTCTGTATGTGTGAGAATGTGGGCCTTGAGACTTGGTACCCTCCCTCCCTCTTGCTGCCTTTCTGACTCTGCCTAGTTGTTGGCTGGTATGGGATGTGGGGCCCAGGATTTCTGGGTTCCCCAGTCCTGAAGAAAGCCCATCTCATGGCCCATCTTCTGCCTTAGACTTCCTATCAGACTGAGATTGGACAGACCCTGGACCTCATCACAGCCCCGCAGAGCAACGTGGATCTTGGCAGATTCACTGAAAAGAGGTGAGGGACAGTGGGAACCAGACCTGAACAGTGAGGGAGGGCTCCAGGTGGACATTGCCTTTTTGAGGAATTGATCTTCTCTCCCTACTTAGGTACAAATCTATTGTCAAGTATAAGACGGCTTTCTACTCCTTCTACCTTCCTGTAGCTGCTGCCATGTATATGGTGAGTGAGCCTCCACACACCCCCGCTACCCACCAATGTTAGCTTTTATACAATCTGGTGCCCCCACTTAATGGCTGTGTGACCTTGAGCAAGTTGCATATTCTCCCTGATTCTGTTTCTTCAGCTGTAAGATGAGGATAAAATCCCCACCTCACAGGATTGTTGTAGAAATTAGGTGAGGCAAGTGAAAGTGGGTAGTCCATCATAGAGGAACAAGAAATCTTCCATCTGAGTATGGATAGGAGTGGGGAGGAGATGATCAGGCTAAAAAGACTGGATTTACAGGCAGTGAGTGGGATTGACTGGCACCTGAACCTGCTTCTCCAAGTTTCCTTTTCATCCTGAATGAAGTTTGAAATGGCAAAAAGATTATGAAGAAGAGCCCTAGCTGGTTTGGCTCAGTGGATAGAGCATCGGCCTGTGCACTAAGGGGTCCTGGGTTCGATTCCGGTCAAGGGCACATGCCTGGGTTGCCGGCTCGATCCCCAGTAGGGGGTGTGCAGGAGGCAGCCGATCAATGATTCTCTCTCATCATTGATGTTTCTTTCTTTCTCTCCCTCTTCCTTCCTCTCTGAAATAAAAATATACATATATATATATATATATATATATATATATATATATATATATATAAAAGATTATGAAGAAGAATCAGTGACTCCTGGACTGAGCCTCATGAAATAAGAGATGGTCTGAGGGCCTCCAGAATGGATTAATTTTTGCCTGCAGGAAGGCCTAGCTAAAATTAAGTGAGATAGAGATTGGACCACCAGCCAGGACTTCCTAGACCAGGGAAGCCAGGGATGTCTGAATGGAGAGCAGAGAAGATTTAGGGGCCAACCTTGGGCAAGACCCTATGGGTCAGGAAGATGAAGGCGCCCCTCATGTCTCGCCTGTCAATCCCCTTCCACTATAGGCAGGCATTGACGGGGAGAAGGAACACGCCAATGCCAAGAAGATCCTGCTGGAGATGGGAGAGCTCTTTCAGATCCAGGTAGGAAGGCAGGAGGCACTGGCAGAGAACAGGCTCCAACTTCCCTCCTTCCCTGCCTCGGAGCATCTTCATTCTCCTTTTCTGCTCCCCTGCCCAGGATGATTACCTTGATCTCTTTGGGGACACCAGTGTGACGGGCAAGATTGGCACTGACATCCAGGACAACAAATGCAGCTGGCTGGTGGTACAGTGTCTGCAACGGGCCTCGCCGGAACAGCGCCAGATCCTGCAGGTGCCCAAGAGAGGGTTGTGGGCCCCTGAGCTGATAAGAAAGGGGCTAAGGCAGTGGTTCTTACGTGGGGGCGGTTTTGTACCCCAGGGGACATTTGGCAGTAGCAGCAGACATTTTTTGTTGACTTGGTGTGTGTGCATGTGCTAAGGTCTCTCTAGTGCAGTGGTTCTCAACCTTCTGGCCCTTTAAATACAGTTCCTCATGTTGTGACCCAACTATAAAATTATTTTTGTTGCTACTTCATAACTGTAATGTTGCTACTGTTATGAATTGTAATGTAAATATCTGATGTGCAGGATGGTCTTAGGCGACCTCTGTGAAAGGGTTGTTTGACCACCAAAGGGGTCGCGACCCACAGGTTGAGAACCACTGCTCTAGTCGGTAGAGGCCAGGAATGCTTCCATACATCTTACAATGCACGCAACAGTTTCCATAACAAAGAATTATGTGGCCCCAAATTTCACCAGTGCCAAGGCCGAGAAACCCTGTGACAGGAAGCTGAGGGCTGAGCTAATGTCTGAGCATTCGGAGTGGGAGGGGGAAATTGAACATATTAGACAATCTTAGACACTTAAAGACACTTGAATGGGAGGCAGGAATCAAGTGAATGGCATTGGAGATGTTCTGAATATATGGATGAGGGGCGTGGAGGGGGCGTGGAAGCACTAGGGGAAGAGTAAGCCTGTTTTCCTGCCTCCACCCCCTTCTAGGAGAATTATGGGCAGAAAGAAGCTGAGAAGGTGGCCCGGGTGAAGGCACTCTACGAGGAGCTGAATCTGCAGGCCCTGTTTATGCAATATGAGGAAGACAGTTACAGCCGCCTTCTGGGTCTTATCGAGCAGTACTCTTCGCCCCTGCCCCAAGCCATCTTCCTGAGGCTAGCACAGAAGATCTACAAGCGGAAAAAGTGACCCAGAGACTGCCAGGGCGGGAGGGGAGCGCTCAATAAATTATAGTATGTCCTCGCTGAATGTCATCCATAGATTCTTGGATACTGTGACGAAATTTTGTCATATATTAATTGATATAGACAAGAGTTGTATTTTATGATATTTCTGGTCACAAAAATATCACGTCTAGGTGGGTGTGGCTTGGTTGGTTGTGGGTGTGGCTTGGTTGGTTGGAGCATCATCCTATGCACTGGAAGGTTGCAGGTTAGATTCCCGGTCAGGCACATATCTAGGTTGCTGGTTTGATCCCAGCTGGGGCATGTATGGGAAGCAACCAATTGATGTGTCTCTCTCACACTGATATTTCCCTAACTTTCCCTTTATCCCTCTAAAACAAAATCAAGTAAAAAAAACCCATCAAATACTTCTAATATTAAACACTGAAATGAGCTATACACACATTTAAGGAATGAATAAAAGAAGTTAAGGGTTGTGTGTGATAGGAGCCTATCTGGGCAGCTCAAAGTGGAAGCCAACACTGGGCAGGCGGCCCTTCCATTGCAAGGGCCCAATCATCCCCACAACCACTCAGGCAATTGGACACCAACTCACCTCACCTGCATGTCTTTGGGCTGTTGGAGGAAAACAATCCAGGAGAAAACCCAAAGGGAAGAACTTGCAAGCTGCACACAGTGGACCTGTCTGGAATCAATTTTCTCAATCCTATAAAAAAAAACAAGGAAGAATGAAACGATATTATACCAGAACGTGCTGTCCTATCCAACCTTGTGGTTCTATTCTTGCGTATACCAGCCAAGGATGCAGCTCTGTTCTGAATAGGTAGGGTGGTTCCACAGAAACCAGGGCGATGACTTCTGGACCTCTAAGGACGAAAAAGCTTAGAACATACCAAAAACACAGACAGGCCTTAGGTGGGTGACACCGGCAAGACGTCAAGCGCAGGGGGCTGGGTCTGAGCCCCGCCCCGCCCATGCGTGAAGGGGCGCGGCTGCGCAGCGTGGGCGGGCTGTCCTACCGCCGCACCCCTTCCCTCCAGTCAGTGCGGGGACTGTGAGCCGCAGAGGAGCTCAACGCCTGGAGCAGTTGCAGAACCGAGGTGAGGAGGGCTCGGTCTGGGGGTGTGGATGAATGGATCTGCATGAGGGGTGGGGCAGGAGAGGGAGCAGTGAAAATGAATAGGGGTGGGGTGGTGGCCGGATGAAAGACAAGTACGGAGAGAATGGACAGAAACCCCGGGTTTCTAGCCCGGTTTCTACCGGGGCTGTAAGCTGAAGCCCTGTGCGGTCTGTGCGGGCCGGCTTGACATGCAGACTACTGCTCCATCCCCCCGCTCCTGCCGCCCTTCCCTGCATTCACCAGCCAGACGCAGCGCCCCCCCTCCCCCACTTCAGAGCATTTGGGCAGGGCCTCCCTTGGCCCCTACTCTGGGAGTGATTGCAGCCAAGAGGACCGAGGGTCCATTCTGGACCGCATCCTTTTTCAAGTCCCCCCCCGCCCCCCCGCACCCCCATGGGGATCCAGAGCGCAGCCGCATTCTCTGATGCCACCCCCCGCCCCATGCCGCGCCACTCCCGGGGGGTTCCATTCGATTCCACCTGCAAACACTGCAGAGGAAACTAAAGGCCAGTGGATGGTCATTTGCATCTCATTTGAATATTGTCTGGAGCAGGCGGCGCCTTCCCGGGCCTGCTCCCGCTGTCAGTCACCTCGGTGTCCTAGCGGTCCGCACCCTCACTGGCTGGGTTTCACCATCCCTGTCTTCTAGGTCAGCATCTTCGGTTGCCAGGTAGGCGGATGCGAGAGGCCCGGTCTTCCTGATTCTCTGGAGGCCATCCCGTCGCCGCTGGCACCATGCTGTCCCCTCAGAGGGCTTTACTCTGCAACCTCAACCACATCCACCTCCAGCATGTCTCTCTGGGCCTGCATTTGTCGCGCCGTCCTGAGTTAAGGGAGGGGCCCTCGAGCACATCCTTCCCCCCGGGGGACGCAGGGGGCAAGGAGAGCCGGGGCCCCTGCAGCGGGACCCTGGTGGATGCCAATTCCAACAGCCCAGCGGTGCCCTGCCGATGCTGCCAGGAGCACGGGCCAGGCCTAGAAACCCGGCAGGACCCAGCACAGGAGGAAGAGGGGGCTGCCTCTCCCTCGGACCCGGGTTGCTCCTCCTCTCTCAGCTCCTGCTCAGATCTTAGCCCTGACGAGTCCCCCATTTCAGTCTACTCGCGCGACCTCCTTGGTGACCAAGATGTCCCCCCTCAGCCTAGCATCACCCCCCCGGAGCAGGGCTCCCCTCTGGCCTCCGCAGGCCCTGGCGCCTGCTCTCCCGACAGCTTCTGCTGTTCTCCCGATTCCTGCTCCGGAGCTTCCTCCCCACCCGGCCCTGGCCTGGACTCCAACTGCAATGCGCTGACCACCGGCCAGGACCTGCCTTACCCAGGGCTGGAGGAGGAGGAGGAGGGTGGGGAGCAGGACCTCCTGACCTCCGAGCTCTCAGAGGCCGACGACGGGAAGACCCACCCTGGGAAAACCGAACCCAGTTGGAAAATCAACCCCATTTGGAAAATTGACACCGAGAAAACGGAAGCTGGCTGGAAAATCCCCGAGGACAATAACTCTGGTTGGAAAATCGGTGGGAATACTAACTCTGGTTGGAAAGCGGAGCCTGGAAAGTCTGACTCCGGTTGGAAGACCAATACAGGAATAACTGATTCTGGCTGGAAGACAGACGCAGGGAAAAGTGATGGAGGCTGGAGGAGTGACGTCAGCGAGGAGCCGGCGCCCCACCGGACCATCACGTCCTTCCACGAGCTGGCCCAGAAGCGCAAGCGGGGCCCGGGGCTGACCCTCGCGACGCAGGCCAAGAAGGACCGCAGCGACTGGCTCATCGTCTTCTCGCCCGACAGCGAGCAGCCCCCCGCTGGGTCGCTGGGCGGCTCCCCCGCGGCGCCCCGGGAAGTCACCACCTTCAAGGAACTGCGGTCCCGCAGCCGGGCCCCGCCCCCGCCAGTCCCGCCCCGAGACCCCCCAGCTGGCTGGGCCTTGGTCCCGCCCCGGCCCCCACCCCCACCCGTTCCTCCCCGGAGGAAGAAGAACCGATCGGGGCTGCAGCCGATCGCGGAGGGGCAGCCCGGGGAGGGCAGGGAGGTCCGGCCCGGCGAGGAGGCCCCAGCCCCGCAGGAGCCGGAGGAGCCCGGCGCGCAGGCGGGCCGTGAGGGTAAGAGGCCGCCGGAGGCAGCGGGAGGAGGGCTGGGCTTCGGCCTTGCCCCAGCCTCCGAGGCTCACAGCCCGTCTCCGTGCCCCCCACCCCCTTTCTGTCACCCACCCCTCCTGTGCCCTTCCGCCGGGGAGCGCTCCGGGAAAGGGAAGCCGGGTGGGTCTCTGGGTGACGGGACTAACTCTTTGCTCCCTCTTTCTCCCGCCCTTCCTCGCCTGGCTGCCCATCCGCTGCCCTCCTCTCCCTTCGCACCTGCCCCGCCAACCCCGCCTGCAGCCCGTCCCCTCCTGGTCCCTCGGCCCCTGGTTTTCCGGTTCTCGGCTGACGGGCGCCCCCTGTTGGAGGGTGGGGGCGCGGGCACCGCTGGGTCTCTGCTCCTGGCGCCTCTGGCGGGCTGGCCCGGCGCGGGGCTGCGGTTGCTGGGGGCGCCCAGTCCCGCAGAGGAGCCGCTGCTGCCTGTGCGCCTATCCCCGGTGGGAGCCTATTCGCCCCCGGCGCGCGGGGCCCTGTCCTGCCTGGCCAGCCCCGAGCTGGCGCTGCTGCTGTCCCCGCTCTTTCCCAGAAGCAGCACCTTCCCCGCCGCGGCTCCCCCACCCCGCCAGGTACCCGCCCCCCCGCTGCCACCGCCACCTCGTCCGCCGAAGGCCCCTCGCTGGACCAGGAGCCCACCGCCTCCTCTCAGGCTACGTAAGACGGCCCCGGGCCGGCCCCGTAGGCCACGCCCCAGGCGGGCCGCCCCGCCCCTCCTCGGCTCGGCTCCCACCTCCGCGGAGGTTGCATCCGGGTTCCCTGCTCCGCCCCGCCCTTCGGCCTGGCCGATTCCTAGCGAGTTCATTGGTTCTGGGAGCCTGGCTCCGCCCCGCCCATCTGGCCGATTCCTAGCGAGTTCATTGGTTCTGGGAATGTGGCTCCGCTCCCGTGCTGGCTGGGCGCTGTGGACGCGGGCCTGTGCGGCTTCAAACTCAGTTCAGGGGCCTCCATCAAGTCCGTTGATAGGGACCTGGGGTGACCCCTCTGTGGAGCCCCTGGCCAGGGCGGGCCGGGCCCGACCGCCTCCTTGCTGGGGGAACGTGCAGGGTGCAACTCCCCAACTCTCCCGGCTGCAGAGGGCCTGGTCTGGCCTTCCTACCCACCAGCCTCACTGGGCTGCGGGGCGCCCTCCTCAGCGATGCCGGAGCAGGACCTGGGTTTCCCCTTTCTGGTGCCTTCACTGTAGCCTCCCAGCCCTTGGATCTCCGCTCCCTCCCTCTCTTTTCCATTCTCGTCTGTCTGTCTTTCCATTGGTCCGGGCTCCCCACGTGCTCTTCCGTGTTCGCGGGCAGGACGCAGGCCCGGGGGTGGGGGGAAGGTGCCCGCCCCCTCCCTCGCCCTGTCATCTCCTGCCCTAGAGGCCCCAGCGGGCGGGCAGGAGGTGAGCGCGGCTGTCCCTGCGCCTGGACTTCCGGGATCGCGGAGGTGGGAGCTGGGCCCTGAAGAAGGAATGGAAACGGGGAATTGGGGTGCACAGGGGCGGCGAGTGCTGAGATCCGGGCAGCATTTCACTCCGAGGTCCCGGGTCGCGCTGCCCGTGCTGTACCCAGCTTTGTGTCCCCTCTCCCAAGACTTCAGGGCTGGGTGCTGTGGACCCGTAGGAGGTGACCTGTGCCAAAGCCTCGAGTCCTCGAATAACCCTCGGTAAGTGTCTCCGCGTTCTTTCCTCACCGCAGTCCGCAGTTCCTGGTCCTTCGCCGGTGTCCCCGGGGCCCAGCGACTGTGGATGGCAGAAGCCCAGAGTGGGACCGGCCAGCTGCAGGAGCAGAAGAAAGGTAGGACACCCCCGCCCTGGCCTCGGAATCCGCTGCCCCTCACTGTGCCCTCCCCTCACGGTCAGATTGCATGAACCGGGTTCTCCCAGGCCCTCGCGTGTTCCTGGGAGACAGGGGCTTTGATGCTTCTCTCCCCTCCCCCTCCCCAGGTCTCTTGATAGCGGTCAGCGCCTCCGTGGATAAAATCATCTCGCACTTTGGGGCCGCCCGAAACTTGGTTCAGAAGGTGAAGTTGTCTGTGGGAGGGTCTGTGGGTTGAGGAGGTGAATGTAGCTCTGTGGGCGCAGAACTTTGGACAGGAAGCGCGCTGTTGGTATCTCTGGACCCATGCCCACTGCGTTGCCTCCAGGCCCAGTTGGGGGATAGCCGGCTGAGCCCAGATGTGGGGCACCTGGTGCTGACCACCCTCTGCCCGGCTCTCCATGCCCTGGTGGCTGACGGGCTGAAGCCTTTCCGAAAGGACCTCATCACTGGGCAGCGCAGGAGCAACCCCTGGAGCGTGGTGGAGGCATCGGTGAAGCCCGGTGAAGTGTGGGACTCTGCCCGGGGCTGGGCCCGTAGGGAGGCCGGGCTGGGGCTGGGGCTGGGGCTGGGGCTGGGGCTGGGGCTGGGGCTGGGGCTGGGGCTGGGGCTGGGGCTGGGGCTGGGCTGACAGCTCGGGTTGTCCTCAGGCTCCAGCACCCGGTCCTTTGGAACCCTGTATAGCCAGGTCAGCCGTCTAGCCCCGCTGAGCAGCAGCAGAAGCCGCTTCCACGCCTTCATCCTGGGCCTCCTCAAGTGAGTGGCATTCTTTCTGGCGCCCCTCCCATGGCCTGGGGACTGCAGGGGGATCTCAGGTGGGATTCCCCAGGTTCCTGGCGCAAACCTCTCCTGTTCCAATCTCATCTCCCACCCCCTGCCTAGAGGGCGCTGGAGTCCTCCACCTCCCTGAGCTTCTGTTCCCTTTTCTCCCCCAGCACTAAGCAGTTGGAGCTGTGGTTTTCCAGTCTGCAGGAAGATGCAGGTCAGAGGTTCAAATGGGAGAGGATGGGGCTGCTAGGCTGTGAGGGAAGGAGGAAAGGGGATCTGTTCTGCTGGTTCCCACTAATGCCAGGATGATCTTAATCTGCTCTGCGATCTTATTACTCTTCTGCTTAAAACTTTTCCAAGGAGTCCCTTAGCCCACAGGGGGAAAGACCCAAATCTTCACTATAACCTCCCATCTTGATTATTGGCCTCTGCCTTCTTCTCTTGCCTCTAAGTCTGGGGCTTTCCCTGGTTCCTTGACAGGCTTCCTTTCTGAGTCTTTCCTCCACCTAGAATAGGACTTCCTGCCCCTCATTAACTTTCATCCTTTAGATTTTCCAGTGAGGCTTCACCTTGCCCTCAGACTAGGCTAACCCTCACCCCCTATTTTGCTCCCATGGGCCGGTCCTCCTTTCTGTTACTCAGTTTCTTATCACCACTTGTTCTATCTGTGCTTCCCTCTCTAGGCAGTGGTTTTACATGGGCAGGGAGGTATCAGCCCTGTTCCCCACCATGTTCTTCTCTGCCCCAGTGCCTGGCATAGAATGAGGCCTGAGGGATGTTTGTTGATGGGTGGGCTGATGCAGGGAGCCCTCTGGGACTAGGCTGAGGGCAGGGACTAATGTTAGCCTGCTTCTTTTCTAGGCCTGCTGTCCCTCCTGTACCTGCCCACTGGATTCTTCTCTTTGGCCCGGGGTGGCTGCCCCTCCCTGTCCACAGAGCTGTTGCTCCTGCTGCAGCCATTGTCGGTGCTCACCTTCCACTTGGATCTGCTCTTTGAGCATCACCACCACCTGCCCCTGGGCCCACCTCAGACTCCTGCCCCGCCAGGCTCACCGCCAGCCTTGCAGCAGACTGTGCAAGCCATGCTGCACTGGGGGGGTCGGCTGGCCCAGAGCCTTCGTGGGGCTTCTGAGGAGACCCCTCCAGGCCCTTCAGCCCCCTCAAGCCCTCCCAAACCAGGCAGCTGGTGGGAGCAGCTGACCCAGGCCTCCCGGGTCTATGCCTCTGGGGGCACGGAGGGCTTCTCCCTTCGTCGGTGGGGATCCAGGTGTCCCGGGACTGTGGCTGAGGAAGCACAGGAGAGATCGTTGCCCACAGAGGACACGGCACCAGGCAGAGGCGTGTGGCTGGGAAGACTGTTTGGAGTGCCTGGGGCCCTCACAGAAACTGAAAGTGGAACTCTAAAGTCCAGGTAATGGGGCACCTGGTCCCCTCCATGACCTCTGACCCCATCCCACATCACCCAGTTACCCAAATATGAAACTAGAGTGATCCTCTAGGTCAGAAGTTGTCAGTCTGTTTTTCTACAGCCATGAGCTAAAAATGGTTACATTCTTGAGAAGTTACATTTTAATGGTGATATAAGCACCTATATGATGTTCTCCATTTGCCTCTCGGCCCTTAGAGCCAAAAATAGTTACTATTTAGCCCTTTAGAAAAAAGGAAGTAGTTGCTGAACTCTGGCTTCAGATACTCTCCAGTGATCATCTAGGTCTCTCTGAGTGTACTGGTTCCCAGAGGTCCTTTAGTGACTTTTGTGTTGTAGACCTGTTTTCACCTCCCTAATCACCCCAACAAACTGTCTCTCTGCCCTTAGCAGTGACCAGCTCCTGATCTCTTTTGAAGCACAGGCTGCTCAGCCTTTTTCTCCCTCCAGAGCCCTGGGTGTTGTTTTTTTTTTTTTTTTTTTTTTTTCTGGAGGTGGGGTAAACTCTGTGACCCTGTATCCCTTCCTCCAGGAGACCATCCAGCTGGCTGCCTCCCACAGTGAATGTGTTGGCTCTGGTGAAGAGGGTGGCACCTTCTGAGACTCCCAGTTCACCGGAGGAGCTTGAGGCCTCAGCACCCAGCACGGTGCAGACCCATCGGTAAGGAGCATCGGGGAGAATGCATTGGTGTGCACGTGTGTGTGCGCATTTCTGTCTTCAGAGGGGAGGGGAGGTAGTTTAAAAGGCTGTGGGGCTGTAAAGTCAGACAGTGCTTAGTTTGCATTACATTTCTGCTATTATTGGTGTGAACGCATTTCTCTGAGCCTTGGTTTCTTTCTCCTTAAAGAGGATAATTTATACCTTTATTGTGGTTGTTAGAGAGACTAAACATAATTTTATAAGAGCATCTGGCACAGAGGAGGTGCCCAGTTAATGACAAGTATGTATTGGATGTGCCCACGTGCATACCCTAGGGGACTGTGCTTCCCTTCAGTGGGGTCTTCTAATTTGGCACCAGAGATTGCTTCTGCTTTAGGGTCTGGCTTCCTTTGGTTTCTTAATCCATTGAATTAGGTTTCTTGATTTTTCATTCAGTAATACTTTTCAAGTACTTACTATGTGCCAAGCATTATGCTAGGGGAGGGAAAACAAAGATAAACATATTGGAGCCCCTGCCTTTAAGGAGCTTGTAGTCCAGTGGAGATACCAATGAGTAAACAAGCGGTTAAAATTCTGTATGGAGCCGGCTGGTGTGGGCCAGTTGGTTGAGTGTTGTTCTATGCACCAAGAGGTCACTGTTCGATTCCTGGTCAGGGCACATGCCTGGGTTGCAGGTTCGATCCCCAGTAGGGGGAGTGCAGGAGGCAGCCAATCGATGTTGCTCTCTCATTGAGGTCCCTCCCTCCCTCCCTCCCTCCCTCCCTCTCTCCCTCTCTCTCTCTCTCTCTCTCTCTGTCTCTGTCTTCATTCCTTTCTCTCTAAAACAAGAAAAGAAAAACAATAAAAACATTTTAAAAATTCTGTATGGAAAAGGTTGTAGGAAAGGGGCCATATAGACAGGGCTTCTTCCCAAGGTTGCAGACTCAGGGAAGGCCCAGTGATGGTGTAGGGTGTGTCAGAAGGAATAGGATGCAAAAGTGGAGAGGCCCAAGTGTAGTGAGGCACTACGGACACATGTTTGGTTGTGCCCACAGTGGAGGTTGTTGGCAGCAGTGACAGGAAGCTATAGGCTTCAGTAGGCCTAGACCTCACTGTGAGGTAGGGGGAACCACTGAAGGGCCATAAGCTGGGGGATATGCTTGCTTGTTTTTGAAGGATCTCTGTCTGCTGTGTGGGAAATGGAGCTGGGGAGGGAGGTCATGAGAGATGAAGGGAAATCAGATTATATGTAGTGGTTGAGAGAAAGGATAGAGAGCTAAACTAGAGTGAGGGCAGTGGAACTGATGAGAAAGACAGGTGGAATAGTGGGAGATACAAACACCAAGCTAGTTTTGGTGATTGATTGGATATGAGGAATGAGAGACCCTGGTTTTTGCTGGGAGCAACTGGGTAGAAGGTAGTGCTATTTACCAGTATAGGGGACACAAGAGGAGGGACTGGTGTGTAGAGTTAAGATGAGTTATTTAAGTTGCAGATGTTGAATTTGAAGTACAAGAGAAGTGCAAATCATGTCAAGTTGCTGAAGAGTGGGTTTGGAGCTCAGGAGAGGGCTGGGGCCCCACAGGGAATCACATGTTGCTAGACACGAGCCCCATGTTCCCAGAGCTGAACCAAAGGGATGTTCCACACAGTGGGAAGATGAGACCTGGGACAGCTGGGTACCCCCACTTCACTTCATCCCAGCATCTGGCTCCCCACAGGGCAGTCCGTGCTCTCTGTGACCACACCGCTGCAGGACCTGACCAGCTGAGCTTCCAGCGTGGGGAAGTGCTGCGTGTCATCGCCACTGTGGATGAGGACTGGCTCCGCTGTGGGCGGGATGGAATGGAGGGGCTGGTACCTGTGGGGTATACCTCTCTCGTTCTCTAGGCCTAGGACCTTTTTCCTTTCCTGCATATGTCTCTCTCTCCTGTCACTTTGGAATGGAATGGCCTGTGAACTGATTTTCCCAGAAGCATTTTCCCTGTCTGTAAAACGATACTTTCCTCCCACATCCCTTTCTACTAATATGTGAAATAAATTTTCCTACTTCTCTCCCATACCCACCTGTAAGTTGAAATCTGCTCTTCTTCCAAATATATACAAAGCAGCTTTCCTCCATGCAGTTTCTTTCCTCTTCTCCATCTGCGTAAGGGAATATCTCCCTATCTGCAAAATGGAAATCTAGTCCCCATCTACCTTCCTGTGTAAGCACTCTGCTAGTACACTATATGCCTCAGTTCCCAAGACTAGAGGGTCTCTAGTTTCCTTCATGTGTATGAATCTTCCCCCACTTCCCCCATCCCATGTTGCCAATATTTATTATGTACTCATGTTGTACTAGGTGTTAAAGTCTGGATACCCCTGGTGGGTGGGCCTGTGATGTTGGACATGTCTCCTTCCTCTTTTGTCCCAATAAAGTGTGGGAGTTGAATGTGTGTGTGTATGTGTGTGTGTGTCACAGAGGGTTTGAGGACATAGGCTGTGGGAGGCCCTCTTGTAGGAAGCTCAAGGGAGATGCTTCCTTCCAAGCCCAGGTTCAGTTCTTACTGATTCCTGAGGAATGCAGAAGTGCCCCTTGATTGTGCCTGAATCTCAGAAGTGCCTCTTTATTCCGAGACGTCACTGCTTTGTTTTGTGGGACTGATAGGTAGGAGCCTGAGTAAATAATGGGAGAATGGGGAAGACGTGGCCCTTGAAATTATACTCATTAGATTTGTATCTGAGGTGATGAAGGATTAAAGGGTTGCAGAAAGTGACAGATTGTTTTCTATTTAACATTACTATTCTGCAGTAATACAATTTCAGAAAGCACAATAACTTGACATTTATATCTTTGTTAGGAGTTATTGAGTTTTGGTCTTCTGAAATGAGAATAGTTAAGGTGCTCTGGAGCTTTGAGGATGGGGTAGGAAATCATTATAAATGATTGCCTCGAGGAAAATCACTAAAAGGTTAGAAGAATAAAGATATAATTATAACCAGGCAACAGAAAAGTTAGGGGGAAGGTGAAAACTATTAAGTGAAATACAGGGAAAAGATATCTGGAAGTTTTCCTTCATTTTGGAGAACTTGGTTGGAGAGGACAATGGGCAGGTAATAGGAGAGGGGAGATAAAAACAGATCAAAGCTTTGTGACTACTCGGGAGCAGGCTCTGAGTAGACTCAAGTGTCTCATACTTGTTATTTTGAAGGCTTATTATTTTTTAAAATATATTTCATTGATTCTTTTTTTTTTTTAATATATTTTATTGATATTTTAGAGAGGAAGGGAGAGAGATAGTTAGAAACATCGATGAGAGAGAAACATCGATCAGCTGCCTCCTGCACATCTCCTACTGGGGATGTGCCCGCAACCCAGGTACATGCCCTTGACTGGAATCGAACCTGGGACCTTTCAGTCCGCAAGCCGACGCTCTATCCACTGAGCCAAACCGGTTTCGGCTATTTCATTGATTCTTTACAGAGAGAAAGGGAGAGGGATAGAGAGTCAGAAACATAGATGAGAGAGAAAAACATCGATTCAGCTGCCTCTTGCGTGCCCCCTACTGGGGATGTGCCCACAACCCAGGTACATGCCCTTGACCGGAATCGAACCTGGGACCCTTCAATCCGCAGGCTGACGCTCTATCCACTGAGCCAAACCAGCTAGGGCAAGGCTTATTTTTTAAAAATATTTTTATTGATTTCAGAGAGGAAGGAAGAGGGGGAGAGAGATAGAAACATCAATGATGAGAGAGAATCATTGATCGGCTGCCTCCTGCACACCCCCCACTGGGGATCGAGCCCGCAACCCCGGCATGTGCCCTTGACTGGAAATGAACCTGGGACCCTTCAGTCCGCAGGCTGATGCTCTATCCACCAAGCCAAACCGGCTAGGGTGTTGAAGACTTATTGTTAAACTCCATTCCTGGCCAATTCATATCAATCTGCTCCTTGCTTTAAATTTACATTTGTGTTTAGCTGCCCTTTCAATTTTGACCTCAGTTTGCATTTCAGATGTTTTCTAGGGTGATGTTTCACCAACTAGATTCTGAGAGCCTCTGGGGATTCCTAGTTATATTAGGAGTACTCAAGTTTACAGAAATTGCCACTGCAAAAGTTTTATTTTTATAATGTTTGAAATTATAAAACACTAGATATGAAAGACTACTTTGATTTTTTTTTTTGGGGGGGGGGCAATGATTTCTAAAGTTTCAGATTTGAGAGAGAGAGAGAGAGAGAGAGAGAGAGAGAGAGAGAGAGGGAGAAACATCCATCAGCTGCCTCCTGTACATGCCCTGACCAGGGATTGAACTCGAAACCTAAGATATGTGCCCTTACTGGGAATCGAACCCTCAACCTTTTTGGTGTACAGGACAATGCTTCAACCAACTGAGCCACCCAGTTAGGGCCTGATGATATGGTTTTAAAAGGATCTTTTTGGAAACAGGATGGAGAAGATCCTGGAAGATAAATGGAGGATAGGAAAGAGGAAAAAATAGCAAGCTCACCACTCTGTAGTTAGGAAAAGTTTTTTCCATTTAATACTAGACTTTTAAGGATTTGAGATGCAAGCTTTTTATGCAATTACATCCAATGTTAAAATTGGTAATACATAATTTACAAAGATTAACATCAAAACAATCATCTATTTAGATATGCTTTTGTAAAAAGGAAATATATTAGCAGCATTTATATTTTCCGCAATCACACAGCCTACAGACATGCAGACTAACTGTATCTATTTGCAGTGATGTAGTGCTTTGCCCCGCATTTCAAACACCAAAACCCACCTGGCAGCTAGGGGGATCTTTTTATTTCGTTATTATAAAATAACTGAAAAATAAAAAAAGGCATTAATCTCTACACAAGTAAGAAAAAAACAAGTTTTTGCACTTACCTAACATTTGATTGTCTAAAAAACATTTCAGTTTTTAGTCTTTCAACAAAAGAAAGATAAAATGACAGAGCGTAGTGTCTTTTGCTTCTGTTCACACATATTACAAAGTTTTTTCTTTTTTTGACTTTTTTAAAATTTTAGTGTTTAACACTATTAAAGGAAATATTGAATTTTAAACTCTTTCTTGTAACTTTCCTGCTTTTGACTAAAAGGAGACTCCCAAAGTGCCCCTATTCCCTCCCCCCTCCCCCCCGGCTCCCTGAAATGAAAACCAAAAAAGAAACCACTCAAATGGGCTTGGACATGCGATGTTTCCAGCTCCACACGTGAGTATCTTATACCCAGGTCTCTCAGTAATGTACAGTGCTTCTCTACAGTAAGAAAATACTCCAAATTATTTTCTTAATTCTCTTTTTTCTTTAATAAAATATTTATTCTGCTTTTTTTCTGTTCAAGGGGATCTTTGGCATCCCCGGTCTCTTTTGTTTATTCCTCAAGATTGACACAGAAAGAATAAAAAGGAAAAAAGATTCAATGGAATGGAAGGTGGTCAATGTTTCTACCTAAACAAGTCAGAGTGTCGTCATCATAAGGGAAAATGTACAATTAGGACAGCATTGGTCCAGTATTAGAAAAAAGTAATGAGGACTGGTTTACTATTGTATTGCTTGCTAATCACGCAGCAGATATATATATATATATATACACACACACACATATATATATACACACACATACGTGTGTGTGTATACACACACACACACACACACACATATATACACATACAACTTGGCACATTTAAAAAACATTTTTTCTCTTATAAGAACATCTAAAACTTATATGCATATGTATGTCTGAGAAGACAACAAAGCAAAGCTTTTTAAATTTTATTTTTAAAGAGACATTATTGTCTGGTAACTTCTGGCCCAGAGAATGGGAAGGAAGGAAACACCCTGGATATCCCTCCTGATGATCAGGAGGGTGGAGGAAAGATGGAACTAGGGGTAGGGAGAATACACTGTCTCTTTAAGAGATAAAAATTGAAAACTGTACAATTAAGAAAACAAGAGTAGTGTTTTGAATTGATAATCTACACTCACAACAAATACTCTGATAGGTGAATACTGTTCAACAGTTTTGTAGTGATTTTTGTTTCGTGGGGGTTAGAGTTCATTTTTATATAGGTTTTAAAATGATTTTATTTTGAAATGAATCTTCATTCGCACAGCACAGCAGACACACACAAACCACAGTGCATAAACTGTACATGTGCTGGGGGGAGGCCTGGCCTCGTCAGAAAAAAATATGTTCGGCAGGTTAAAACGAAGATAATTCTAAGTACTGTGCCCTCTGACCCCATGGGGGCCTTCCCTATTCCATGATTCTATTTTGGGGAGTAGATGTAGGGAGAGGAGCAGCAGTTACAAGTGCTTTGAGTTATCAACTCATGTTTTACTTTGACATTGTTGGGCAAGAAAGGAGAAACTTTCCTCATCGGGGATCTGGAAAGAGGCCCAGCTACTGTTTCTGTCTCAGGTCTCTGGGATAGCTCTTGGAGCCTACAGAAAGCAGATGGGGTAGGTGGTGGGGTTCCTGGCCCTACCCCTTTGGATTCTGAGTTATACCTGGGTATAGGAAGCAGCTTCTTAGCAGTGCTTGTGGGATCAGAGGATGACAGAAAAACCCAAGCTGGGGGAGGGGCAAGTGTTATAAAGTACCAAAAAGTTTTGGTCATCCTCAATGTGCTCTGCCTTCCTCCCTACGTTATTATTAACCTTCTGGATGAAGCCATGGAGAGGAAAACAAGTTAAATTGAACTGGTTAGACAGATCCCCTTCCTCTTCCTCTCTACAAGCTCCAAGGTTTATTAAGTACCTAATGTTAACGTCATGGCCCCATTCCCCTTGCTGGATGGACCCTTCCCACTCCTGTCTACACTCAGAGAACAGGAGGCAGGACTGTTAGCTCCACTGGATCTCAGATGCTTGAGGTTCTCATTCTTTGAGGTTCACTTTCGAAAGCTGTTTTCTGGGATAAACAGAGTACGCCTTCGCAGTTTCCTGCCTGATCCTTCCTCCAGCAAGTATGTCACATCGATGGCTGAAAACAGAACCAAGGAGGCTGATCAAATACCACTGGCCTACTCCTTACTCCAGATCTGAGTTCTCAGATCAGAGGACTTCAATGATTGCTTTTCTGACCTATAAGCAATTTAGGCCTTCCTCCAGCTAGGTATAAAAGCTAGTCTCTAGGAAGGAGAGCATCTCACCTCCCACAGTTTCATTCCCCAAATATAACTAAAGGCAGGCCCATTAAAGAACTATGCCACTTTCTTAGAATACATTCCATTCCGGACCAGTAGTTAGAAGTTGTTTTTTTTCATTCCATCTCCCTAATTTTCTATTTACCTTAAATCCTAGATTTTAGCCTGACTCTTCTTACCATTTTTTCCAGGGATTTTGTCAAGGAGATTGAGCAAGATCTGGTTGAGTCGTTCCCGCTGGTTATGCCGTCGTTCTTCAGGGGTACAGGCTGACTGAGCTTCTTGACTACTCTCTTCTGTTTTTTTTCCGCCCTCACTGACTTCGGCAGTGGCCCCTTCCTGTTCTGGCTCCTCCAGGCTGGGCATCTCGTTGGCTGCTTGCTCCTGACTGGCCAGAACTTCTTCAATCAAGGGCAGAGCATCGTCCTCCTGGCCCAAGTCTTTTAGGGGTGGCTTTGAGCGTTCAGACTTCCAGGACGATCTGCCAGAAGGATACGTGAACTTAGAGTAAGGCTGAGAAGGGCACTTGGGGTTGGATAGGGCATGAAGGGAAGAGACCTCAGGGTGGCTTGAGACACTGAAGCCAAGCTGTTACAACCGTGGCTCAATAGGTC